AGGAAACCTCCYGGAGTTAGGCTGAGAAAAAGATCGCGGTGTAATTTGTTTTGATGTCTCAGGACTCCAAATCCTTCAGTTTCCAACGTAGAACAAACTCACAGTGATTTTACGATGAAGGGCAGCTTTGCCCTGCAAGCCCAAAGTCAAAATCTGGGCTTATCTTTCCTTTGTGCCTCTCCAGAGCAATGCAAGATGTTAAAGATTTGATTTGCAAAGAGACTGTGCAAACATTTCTCTTTATCCTACCCTGTCTTCAATCTGCTTCAAGATTTTAAAGCAAAATGCTGATCTCTCCTAGGATTTATACTGAAACCAAAGGAATCAGTTGAGAATTAGTTCCATAAACCACATCCATATTTGCTCAAAAAGGAACAAGGTTCACTCCAGAGTAAACCCATAAGCAGCATGTAGCCAGTGAACCAAGAAGATCACTGGAAAGGCTCCCAGTGACTCCAGCAATCCCACAGCAATTCTTCCCCGAACATGCTCTGAACTTCTACTTACGTCAAAAGCAAGAGTCAACACATTTTGTAGACGCTGTTTCGTTGCAAATATTTATAGAGCTGCACGGAGTGGGATCCAAACGGTTCCACATAATTCATGCCTGGCACTAACACGAGTGCAGGCCAGCGTCCAAACCAAGCCCTGACAGCCCTGCAACAGCTCTACCCAAACCATCCTGATGACAACTTACCTAACCTGTCCTTAAAAGTCTCCCCAGATGTTCAGTTCCCCAGCACTGACATGCCTACAAAGGCACAGCTCTTGTTCTGCAGCCACAGTAATTTACACTGGCATAATGCACACGTGTACCTGAAGAAAATGCATCTCCTCAAGGTTTTACTTGTATAACTATGACAGCAAAACAGTTTAAGCTTTTTATGATAAGTTTTCAGCTAGGAGAACACCAGCATAGTTTTTAAAGTAGCAACTAACCAAAATTCACAGCCTCAATCACTGAATCATTTATTCAGCGGCTTTCAGCGTATTTTTCAAATGAAATGTTCAGCAAAGGATATTTATTCATTCCTCATTGCACTTYGGCTGTAAAAATAATCAAATTAAATTTCACTCAGATTCCAACAYGACTTCAGAGGCAGGGGCCGTCTCAGCAAGCCTGGGGAATGGCAGARCACTTTGTGACACCTGCTTGATGGTTCTGATCAAAATTCCAGCCTTTGATGGCCGGTGGGRGCCTGGAAGAGCCTGGCTAAGCAACAGGATGCCCTGTCCCCACGTACACCCAACATTAGGAACGCTCAACCTCTTTCCTTTTTTCTCACTACAGATTTTGATGGGAAATATTTTAAAGGCATGTATGTGTTTTCCTGTATGTATCTGCTTTACAAAGCTGCTTTTCTGCAGCTCTGCCCGCAGCGGCAGGAGCAGCCCGGCAGGACGCGGCGCCCATGGGAGCAGCCGCGCATGGCTCCACCTCTCAGCGGGCGATGGCAGCGATGTCTCGCAGGCCCTCCCGCCATGTCCTCGCCTTCATCCTCCCCGAGTTCAAACCCTTACGAGGCCTCACAGGCCCTCCCGCCATGTCCTCGCCTTCATCCTCCTCCAGTTCAAACCCTTACGCGGCCTGCGTACGCGGCAGCGCTGGGCCCGCGCTGCCCCTCGGCGCAGCACCAGGCCTTCCCCATCCCTGTGGGCCCGTGGGGCTGGACACCACCCCGGCACGGGCTCCTTCCTGGGGCGCACGGGCCATTTTCGTCTCTCCCCCCTTTCCACGGGGGGGTGGGTGGGTAGGTGAGGAGCACACCGGCCATCAGGCCCGGCGCCGGCATCCCTGCGGCCCGCTCTCCTTGCCGCGGGGGGCCGATGAAGGCAGGCAGCCCTCCCCGCCGCCGCAGCACAGGCAGAACCAGCCCGTTGCCATGACAACGGGCCTTCCTGCGTGTCCAGTGCRTGGCCGGAGACGGGAGGGGTTGGGGAGTCAGAGGCTGCCTCGACATGGCTGCTCCCTCAGCCCGSGCAGGCGCGTCTGGGGCAAAGCGGGTGACGGCGCAGCCCTGTTCCCTCTGGGTTTCCTCACAGAGACTCACAGAAGTGGTAGATGAGGCTGGGAAAAGAGTCCTGCTCCAAGCTGCAGGAGCCCTGGGGGACACAGATATTTGTAGGTCCAATTATTGCATGCAGAGGTGCCAGAGGAGTCCACAGGGATGTGGCCCCCGCTTCAGTTTTGTCTCTGCACTGCCTGGAAGCCCTCAATGGGCTCCAGCAGATCCCCGCATCAAAGCTCTGGGTGCAAAGCTCTTCTACAGTGAAGCTGGGTGCATCTGCAGCTATACATCTGCAGACACTGTATTTATAATTAATGTTTGTACAGCGCTTTGAAGATAAAGTGGCATATAAGTACCAAGTATCATTATTATTAGAACCAACTTGATTTATACCCACGAAAAGCCAGGAAATTGGGGCTTTAAGAGTCTGGCAGTTTGGTCAGACGCTGCTGCTTAAATTCACACATTTCTGCTTTGCATTTTGCTCGKCAAGAGTAGGTTAAGTCTGAGGCACCCACCGTAGAGCTGCAGACCTAGCCCAGAACTTACCGGTTTTTGATCTTGAAGGGAGAAACCTCTCACTGGGGAACCTTGATCGAGTATCTAGAAAAAAACAACTCCTTTTACTGCATCTATTCAAGGGTACCTCTCCCTCCTAGACTTTAACATGTGCATTAGCGAATAGGGCTTGGTGTTCCAGCAGCATCCCACGTGAGGATGCGGAAAGGGAGGGGAATGGGAAGTGAGCAATGCCCTGGAAAACTCAACCCTACCTGGCCCAGCGACTTTGTTTGCTTTTCCCGGTCTTCTGTTGATCAGCACTGAAAAATGTGGTTACAGAAATACTCATTTTAACAGAGCTAATTTTAAATGTCAACCTCTAAGAGTTGGGGAAGGCTAATTAGTAAGGGGGAAGGGGAACGGGATGTCGGGAACTTTAATTTCACTCAGTGCAGCCAACCCTGAAGAGAATTCAGAGCTTGCTATTAGCTACACGTCTTTAATTTGACTCCAAATGTTAGTCAATAACATTAACAAATGGAAAACTGTCACAGCACAGAAAGTACTAATGCGGGGAGGCCCCAGTGTCTCAGCGCAAGGTGCTAATTGGGGGCTAACTGGGTAAGGCAGCACATTAATAACCCTCTGTCCAAGTCGCCCCGTAAGTTGCTAGGTTGGGCTGTGGAGTGAGCTGAGCATCCGYCGCTCACTCCCGATGGAGCAAGCATGATTCATGGGGTGCAATAGAAAKGGTGTTGGAAATTTCGTGTAACTGCTCTTGCAATCAAAAGATTTGAGTCTTATGCCAAAAAAGAAGAGGGACAGAGGAAGACAAGAAAAAAAGCTGAGGACTGCGAGATGGTGAAAGCTGTACTGTCCTTCCCTCCCAAGTCAAGGTTGGGGGAGATGAGCTGTGAAGCCCACAAGGCCCATGCCTGTCTTGTGCCTCACATGCTGTTTACACCTGCTCTGAACAAAACRAGAAGGATTCGCTTCTCTTGCTTTCAGAGCTACTTTTCCATCTCCTTTTCAGTGGGGCTCCTCAGCCCTGTAAATCCAGGTGCATCACGCAGAGGCACCTACAGCATGCTGGACAGCCAGGATATATGTTTCAACACGCTGCTCAAAGCCCGYGCTCATCTGCGAAACATTTCCAGCGAGGAAGAGATCAGTCACAGCCCTTTCTACAATGCCCAGTAGTTAATTGCCGCCTCTGTTTAAAAAGCCAGCGTTACGACTCGGGTTAGCTCCCCCGAATCTCCCTCTTCATTACTTGAACCCGTGTGCTGCAGGCATCGCGGTGCGCGGCGGCGTCCCCGCAGCGCGCAGCGGGCCGCCACGCAGGCTTCAAAGCAGCGTGTGATGTGCTGCATGCACAAAGCAGCATGGCAGGAGCGCCGCGCGGCTCCCCTCCTCGCTCCCACGCCGAGCCCCGATGCTGGCGTCTGCTGACACGTGTTCTCCTCCAGCCTTTGATGGGCTGCGGGGAGGACACGGTTTCACGCGCTGCTTGGGAAAACTGTTATACGGTATCAATACAATGTAATTTCACCTACCCGCAGAACTGACAGGCGTATTCCAACTGTGGTGTATTATCAATTATAAACCTAACAGAGCATGTTCTCCCATCTGATTGTTGAAAAAATCACTTGTCAAGGGCTTGTGAAAGACCATAGCTGTCTTCCTATAGACAGCAGTGCAAGAGATGCAAAACTTCCATGTTACAATGCCTTTTTTTTTTTTTTATCTGCAGTATAATAGAACTGAATAAGGTGATTTCTATAGCGTCTTTATACCGACAATGTTTTACAAAGCAATGAGTTGGATACTGGCAGCGCAGTGACAATGTTAATCAAACAACAGAGTCACTGTAGGCAGATCCAGCTCACAGATATCTGCTAGGAAGAAGAGCTAAGCCCAGCCTAGCAGGCCAGTGTCCCCCTCTCACCTTTGCAAGTGCTTCATGCACTAGGGAAGGGCTTGGGCTACTTCCATGCCATTTCCAGGTATGGAAACGGCTCCTTCCATAGTCCTGCCACGCCACTGCTTCCCCATGGATGAACCGATGGTAATTCTTGTCATCATGAGGGGCTTGTTCCTTACAAGTCTTCTGCTCTGCTGTGGAGACACCTGTGTGGACGTATTGCCAATGAGAGCTACTTACCAACGGGACAGGGAATTTTCTTATTATAAAAAATGCTTTAGCACTTAAGARAGCCACAACAAGGGGGTGAAAAAGAAAAGACTTAATCACCGTTGCTTTGGAGTCGTCTCAAATTTGTAATTCAATCAAAGCCCCGTAACAGTAAGGATGGCTTTCTGATATTCACTGGAGTTTTCCAGGGGCTATAATCTCTGAGAGATTTATTCATCCTTTCTGCATTAGCTTAAGTCTATTTTGGAAGAAACATCTCTCCCTCCCTCCCATCAGCAGAGCTCCAGAGAAGACATTAATATTAAAGTAATTCAATTACTCTGACTTGGGAGAACATGGGTCCGGGGGAAAGGGGTGTTCGTTAAGCCATGCCATGACAGCTCTCCTTTCATGTCCCTTGTATCCCCAAGTTGTTGTTCCAAAAGAGCTTCCTGAAACATTGAAGGGAGCTATTAGGGATGGTTACAGCAGCCCGCTCRCTTATCTTCCGTACGTATGCTGTGACATGAAAGGACGTATGGAAAAGACGTATGGGAAGGACCACGGGGCAGCTCGTGCCCTGCCCAAGGGCCCCATGTAACACAGCAGGGCCCCAGACCCAGCGCAYCCCGCTGCCTCTCCCCGCTCCCTCTCCCAGCCCAAGCCTTCCTCCCAGCACCACATTCCCACACTCCCCCCATTAAATCCAGCTGACATTCCCGAAACATCCCCACACTCCGGGCCTCTCCAAGTAGGAACCGGGGCTGGAGGAGGCTGTAGAAGGCCAGCCCTGAGGTGCTGCCCAACGTTCGCTCCCACGTCCCGGCACAGGCCAGCTCCACGGACACCCCCAGGGCCTGGCCCAGACGGCAGCCCAGGGACCAAGCCTTGGGTGAGGAAGATGAGGAGGAGGAAGGAGACTCTTTGGGAGGGAGGGATGGGGAGTGCTTTGCACTTCAAAGGACACATCAGCTTCTCAAGATCACAGGGAAGAAGGAAGAGCAAGGCTAGAAGATAGATTAACCTTCCTTCTCCCTCCCGTTTCCTTGTTCTACCCAATCAGTCCTTCCCTCGCCAGCTAATTAAACATGAAACGAGCTGGGGGGAGGTGGGTGCTGAGCCTCAGCAGCTCGGGCTGCACTGGCAGTGATGCCGCTGTCCTGCCCTTGGATCAGGAAACCCTCTGGAGCCGACAGCGCTGCCCAGAAACAGAACCCAGCGCAGGGAGCCCGGCCTCGGTCCCCGTCCTCCAGCCTCGGTGCTGTGGCGGGGACGTCACCCTGCACCAAGCCCCAGGGAGCCCCCGAATTCAGCGCCGGCAGCACCAACGCTCCCCATCCACGCTAGCGTGTGAGCGGAACACGAGCTCCTGGATCAGAGGGCTGGCTGAAGATCCATCTGGATCCCCAGGCTTCTCACTGCTGYGCTACCAAGTGCAGCCCCCCGCAGTGCCCTGGTCTGCAGAGGGGTCTGGATCAGCACCATAGATCCAGATGACAAGAGCCCCCATCCCAGAGGAAAACCTTGGCAGCAGGAAGGCAGCGCAGGCCTGGGGACACACTGGATCCTGACATCTTCTGTAATCAAGAGAGGTTCGCTAATGTCACTTTTGGTAATGAGCTCACTGATGTGGGCTGAGATCTGACAAGCTCATTGGAAATGAAGTCTCGAATTCTGCACAGCTCCCAACCCCACTTGAAGGGAGTCAGAGAGGGCAGGAGATCAAAACGACACAGCGAGGAGGTACCAGATTTGGAGACGGGAAAGAGTCAGACACCCAGCTGTCAAACTCAGCTGCATGTCTCTATCCATATATCCAGATCTGTGACATCTATAGCTCTCTATATCAACAACCGTATATGAAAGCCAGGGAGAACTTTGAAAGAAAAATAACATCACTGTGATGAGACGTTTTATCTTTCTCCTCGGCTCTCAGGGGCAGCGGAATGAAAGTTGTGATATGTGCAGAGAAACTGCCAGCAGAGGGAAGGAAGGTACCGACGAGGGAGCAGCTTTTTCCCTGAGGACCCCGTTATTTTTGCAGCCTGCCAGCCCCAGCGAATGCCGAGYGCCTGCACGTGTGGATGCCAGCAGTTTGCACAGGATAAAACGCACCTTTRGACTCATCTCCAGCAGATGGACAAAGTCCTCTCCTCCGTGCACGCGGGCTCAGCGTGCCCGCCACGCAGCCCAGGATAGCATGGTGTGACACTGGAAAGAAAGAATTCAGGTTTTGCTAATTAACCTTGTCCCCAGACCTCGGGTAATGGCGTAATACAAAATTCTATCTCCCTTTGATACTTCCCAAGCAGCTCCCGCTGCCCTCCAAGCACAAGGGCGCTTGAAAAAAGACCGGGAAAAACGCTTCCAGGAGCAAGTGGGAAATGGGAACTGCACAGCCCTGGCCACTGTGCACAGGCTGAAAGGGGGACCCAGGGCCACGCTCAGACGAGCACGGCCGAGTGCAGCACGCACCTTCCCCCTGCTCGCCTCTCTGCAGGGCCTCCAGCCCACGTCCCCAGAGCACCTGCACTTACTGAACGCAGCTCCGGCTGCCTCCAGGGGCGGTTTTGCTCGGAGGAAGCGAAGCTGGGTGGAGGACCGGCTCCTCACTGCTCCTGTTCCAGCCAGCGAGAGCAGAGAACATGAGCAAGGCAGCTCCTCTCTCCCCAGGGAGCAGCGCTGCCCGGCAAGCCAGCGGGCTCTCAGCCCCAAACAGACCACGCACCCACTTGTGATGTGGGGTGTCTGGGTGCTCTGTGCACCCACACACTGCTGCCCAGCCTCTCCGGGGCCCGTGCACAGCTCAGCCGGCTCTGGAAGGTGCCCACGGTGCTGAGGCGCTTTCCTAAAAGGGGTCCTGCAGCCACGGCGAGGACAGGGAAGCACCTAAGTGCTGCGTTTTGCAGGAAAAAGGTGCCTGAACAAGGCCTGGGGTTCAAGAAGTRCTCTTGGTGTTTACATGAAGACTTTGGCTTCAGGAGAAAATCTGATACTGCTCTGAGTTTAGCTTGGTCTTGTCCTTCATGGGGCTTGAAGGTAAATTCCCCCTGTTTCTCTCTTCGCATTGCAATTATCAGCCCATTCTAATGAAATTCACTCCAAGYAGAGAGCCAGCAGGAAGCTTCTTGTCCACGGACAGGTTGTACCATTTTGTGCAGAGGCTGTGAATGAAATTCAGCCTTTTCTTTACTTCATGGGTTTATTTTAGCACTCTCAGATATGGATGTGAAATCCTCTTGCGCCCATCAGTAAACATTTGCCTGGTCAATTAGACAATTCTGTCATCATCCTCTTGCTCTTGGTGGGGACAGAGTCTCCTGCGGTGACTAACAAATCGCTAGCTGGGTTTTCTCAAAGCCTCCTGGCTGCTGATGATCTAACGCACCCTCAGCCAAGCAACCCCAAAGCAGGGGGAGAGGGTTATTTTTTGTGGAAAGTACTGTTTTTGAACTGTCCACTTCTCACCAGCACTGTGATCAAGCCTCTGAAGGAGCCTTCCTCTGCTCGGCAGGATGAGAGGAGGGCAGAGGTGCCAGGGAAACTTCAGGGGAAACATTTCCAAACTTTTCAGATGGAGATCGTGGCTCCCCGGGACGTGAGGCCTCACTGGGAACAGCGAGGGTGGGCAAGGCAACAGGGCGCTGGTGGCAAACAAGAGCTCCAGAATGTCCCTGCAGCGCTGGCCGGGAGGAATAACGTGCATTTTAATTTGAGTGGCAGGCGGCCACATCTCTCTTTCTCTCCATGCATCTCCACAGAGCCCATTTTCCCTGGACAGCAGGGAAAGATAAGCAATTAAAGCCCTAATCAATAACAGCCCCAGCCCTCCCTGCTTCCAGCTCCTTAATTGGCATCCCAGAGTCATGGGCAAGGTGAAACCAGGCCTTTGAAAGCAAAGGAAGGAAGAAACCCTGTGTGTTGGCTTTAACGAAGTACAAACAAATCCCCAAGCAGGAGGCTCTGGTTCAACTCTTAAGTTTGGTTTGATACCAGCAGATGGGAGAGCAGCAGCAGGGTTACGCAGCCACGGTACTTCTAGCTAGGATAAACACTTCTGATCCAATTCTGGCCAAATATGCTAAAGGAAAAGCACCCTGCACTTCAGGGTCCCATGCAAACACAGTTCTGCAGTTTCCAGGCTCTGCTACCAAAGCAGAACCTCCCATCAACAGGTATTGGTGCTGGTGCTGCCAAAGGGCTGAGCCCATGGGTCCGCCCCGCTCCGGCGCTGCGCCGGGCTCCCCAGCGGAGAGCCCGCCTATGGCAGCGCCTCTGCATCCCAAAAGCATCACCTCAAATCCAGATTCCAGCAACGGGCATCGCTCCTTATCCACCACTTGCAAGAGCTCTGGAGAGGAAAGGGGAGCCAGGCAGGACCGTCGCGCTCGCTAATTATTCACGGAGCCGCGTTCCTCTCCCCAGTCCCTGTCACCGCAGAAGACAATTAAGGGATTCCCATGCTGAGCCACCTCTCCGCCATCCAAACACTCCTCCAGCCTCCCTCCGTCCCACATAATTATACTGCCTCTTGACCTAATTTTGCTAAAATAATCTGCCTATGAAAGAGAAAATGAGTAGAGAAGTCTTTGTCGTCGAGGTCATTTACTGAATTTTAATAGTTCATAAATGACTAATTTAGCAGGAGCTCTGCTCCCTTGAAACCGCTACCTATTGAGCTCACCAGGATATTTTTCTTCCTCTTGAGACAAAGGATGGAGTAAGAAATTCAACAGCTGCCTAAGAACTAGTGTTTTGTTTATATTCTCTTCCTAATTGCCGTGGTTTATGCTCAGAGACATGGACCTTTCACCAGGACAGCTTTTCAGTCAAATGGGCATCTTCACAGACAGCCACTGTCCTCATGGAAGAACCATGGAAAAATCCCAGTGTACACTTGGTTATTCAAGATGCATTTCAGTAAAACATCTGCATGTTTAATCTCAAGCATGTGCTCAAGTCTCTGCCTGCTCCATTTGCTAGGTGTGCACTGTCGGTCTCTTCCAGCTGAGGAAGCTTCCTGGGCTTTCCTACCAAAGCACCAAACAGGAGCAGGCTCCTCAGTCACCACTGAATCACTGCTTTATCTAGCAGCTGGTTGGTGGTACCACATTCATCAGTGACCCCTTGCTTTGTCACTTCCCTTGGCTTTACCTGTCCCTTCAGGAGCTCCCAGAGCTGACGTTAAGTAATGCTCTGTTATCCCTGCCCTTCTCCCCAGCTGTGCTGAACGCAGGGCTGAGCGCAGTGTGTCAGGGTGGCAGCGCTGTTCGTGCTCACAGATGCATCGCTCAGCTTAGCTTGTCACTGCAGACTCCACCTGGGAGATAAATAGACAGAAATTAGAGGAAGATAGGAGAAAATATCTTAATACATCAAGTTGCTCCAGGGTGGCAGCTTCAGAGGGCCTGTGAGACTGTGTGAGGTGCAGACCCTGGGTAAACAGGCTCTGTTCAAGGTCCTTGCGGGGCTAAAAGCTGGTGCAGGGCCTGTGCAAGAGGCATCCGAGCAGCCGGGTGCCCAGCAGAGCTACCCAAACCCTCCGGAACGAGGGTGAACCACAGTCTATTAAGCTGATGGAGGGTAACGGGGTCACTCGCACTGCTGCTCCGGGAGCAGGAGGCAGCACAGGAGGGTTTGCTGTTAATGGAGAGAGAGCAGGAGAGAGCATGGTGCCAAGGAGCAGCGCACGGGACGGGAGCCGCGCAAGGGGCTGCCCTCCCTCCCTGTCTGCGGGCTGAAAGAGCCTCTTATTTAATGAGAAGGTGCAAGGCAAAGACAGCATCAAGCTTAATATATGTCATTTGTTTGGACATAATGAAGGGTGAGAGCAGCTGTTAGAGCAGACTTGCGAAGCAGGGAACAGTTCTTTATATATAGGGACACTAATGCACAGGCGGTGTTTGACCTGCTGCAGTCACACTGCGAGGTACTGCCAGAGCTGGGAAAAACAGTGTTTTCCACCTCTGCAAGCTAAAAGCCACCAGGCTAGTGCAAACCCTGCTCATCTCTTCTTTCCTCCATCCTGCAATATTTTTAACATTTCAAGAGAGGAAAACGTTATTTATCATTGAGCTTATTGTACAAGCTGGCATGATTTATTTAAGCATTTGCCAATAACCACCCAAACAGGAGGCTGTTTTTCCAGCGCTCCCACAGCGGAGCACTAGAGGAAACAATAACAGACCTTGTGAGTGTTACTGCGGGACCTCTCCTGCCAATTACACTGAGTTATAAGTTTCAGTAAGGGGATATAAAATAATTAATTTCATATAGCCCAGCAGGAATTGCTTGCTCTATATGAAGAATCTTCCTTCTCTAGGTTTTTAAGCCAAGATCATGTATAATGATTAGAGTTTAAAGGATGCTATACACTACACAGACCCAACATGACAGAGGATTTCATTGCTTTCCCTGCTTGCTACAAYCTTAAGTGGACAGATGGGTCTGCAGGATCATAAAAAAGCAGGTGAATGTCCCCTCCTGTCCACAGGCCCAGGGGAGGACTGCGCTGACCAYTTGTAAGAGCCTTGTATAAAAGCAAAAGCTTTTGTAAGCTTGGCATGTAAGCTTAATGAAAGTAAAGAAATCAAACTGAAGGTCTGCAAGTTCTTCCTTGGGATTCTGCAAGTGATGAGATTTAATTAAAACCAAGCAAGCAAGATGACCTAGAACCGTGCAYGGCCGAACAGCCCAGAAACTGAATTGTGGCAGCTCGGGGTGCAAGGAGGCTGAGCTGGAGGCAGCTTCATTGGGCACCTTCCAACTCAGTGGAAAAGCATCTGTTGTTGTTCCACACATGCAAAGGTCAGTGATGTCCAAGGCGTCTGAGGAAGAAAGGTGGATTTCCAGAAATAAATCTCGAGGCTGACAAGGGCAGGGTGTCCTGGTGAGGCTCGTTTCTCATGTGGCCTTTGCAGGCTGACGGTATCATCTGCGAGCCTTGTCAAGACAGCCTGGGTGTTTTGGGGCGCTGCTTAAGCCTGGACTATTTCCTCCGGTGCCGCTGGCGCACCCGGAGCAGGATGGGGGCTGGACCAGCAGCTGGGCTCCTCTGTCCTTGGGGGAGAGCAGGGGTTTCTTTCCCTGCTCGCCTGGTTGTAGCAAGCAGCTGCATCAGCCAGAGCGTTTGGACACCCTCTGATGGAGCAGAGCCAGTGTTTTCACACAGAAGTGTGGAATTCAACCCCCAATCCCAGCACATGCCATTGCAATTAAAGCCTGTATCAAAAGCACATGCACAAACCGGGAAGAATCCAGCCGCCTGATTTTTTTTCCCCTTGCATTTGATGCATATCTCTTAGAATAGGTGATGTAAAAACAACTGCAGAAACAAATAACCCCCAAACTGAACCGAGTACTTTCAGCTTGCAAGAAAGATTTGAAATTTGCAGATGAAGATTCAGATTACATTTTGGATGCAATCTAGGTTGCCTTTGCTACTAAAGCCAAAAGCAAGCTTTCATTCCAAAAACCCAGGATAAACAGAAGCCTTTCTATCATCATGGAGCATTCTTCAGTTTGATGTTCCTTTCAGAGCACAATCCCTCTCATGCATAAATGCCAGGGTAGGATA